GTCGTCATACGAGCTGATCCTCTTGCCCTGCACCTCCCTGGAGGGGGTGTAGGAGAGCAGGCCCAGCTTCTGCAGCTCCGTCAGATAGTGCTGCTCTGAGACGCACAACGAAAAACAACAACACTGGGTTTAGTCGCACGCACACACACACACACACACAATCACATGTTTACAGCTCTGATTGGTTTCTACCCTTCACAATCAAACACAAGTGAATACAAACACACAAGTGCGTGTATAACTTTAAAACAATAGAATTCAACGTGTAAACTATTCTAAGGCATTAAATATATGAGGTTTGAATGAAAGGAGGAACAGGAAGTGTCACCTTTGATTCTGGGGTCGCTCTTCTGTCTCCACTGCGGCAGGAGGGCGCTGATGTGACGGTGGCCTCGGTCCCAGAAGTGCTGCACCGCCAGAGCGATTCCTCGACAGGAGAAGAAGTGACCGAGCCCGTGACTGTTAAAAGAAAAAGGCGGTTACCGTTCTTCAGAGGTGAAACTAACTACAGGTTTTGTAAATGTTGTCAATTCTGTCGGCTGTAGTTCTCACCTCATCGCCACGTTGCTCCCGTCGATGATGATCGTCCTCAGTTTTGCGTCTCCGGGCTGGTCTGTGAGCTGGAGGTCAAACAGCGTCTGCAGTCCCTCTAGAAAACGCTGCTCGCCCGTCACCACCACTGAAGAAGCAGGCGCGAAGCCCCGCCTCTGCCTCGCTCCGGGCTGAGACAAGTCGTCCCTGGTGAAGACGGAGGACTGAGGGGCTTGAGGGGCTTGTTTCACAGAGTTGGAGGACTTGGGCTTTGGATGTAAGACTTTGCTGTGAGCTGAATGATTTGGTTTTGAGGCGGAGGCATGAGGCCAGAAGATGGTTTGGTCAAAGTGTTTGTTGGTTTGTAAATTGGCGAGTGGAGGATCTGAGGGATAAGTGGACATGGGTGGACCTTTGACTTCAGGCAGGATGACCGGGCGCTGAGTGTGTGACTCTGCAGGCTGCTGCGGTTTGTTAATCCAAGGAAACAAATCTAATTCTGCCACAGGCGCAGTTTTACTCTTTGAGGGGTTTGACACTTCCACCCATCCTCCATCATCTGATCCTTCGTCCTCTTTCTCCAGCACCACATCGTCCATCTCCCTCGGACCCTCGCCGAAGACGTCCGTCTCTCTGACTCCCTCCCTCTGCAGCTCCAGGAGGAGCTGGTGGGTGGAGCGATCAGGCAACATGTTGTAGAATCTGGCCACGTTCTGCTCCGTGTATCCACAGCTGGCTGCAGCTTTCTTCAACACTCCGAGGACAAAGTCTTCCTCGTGTCCTTCCTCCTTTCCCTCTGAGCCACGTCCCTCAGAGTGCGTTGTGCCTCCTGCCGCCCCACTCGCTTCTCCGCCGCTGCTCATCACCGGATCTCGCCCTGCTGCTGTTTCCTCGTCTTCCCTGTGCTCTGACTCGCAGGGTCGGTTCCTCTCGCTCTCATTCAGGGCAACACCATCTGTATGTTTTGGACCCGGGCCACCTTCAGGCATCTGCTCCCGGTCGCTTCGATCCTGCTCCTGTTGCACCAAGTCCAGTATCTGTGAGGCCTCCTTAGGTCCCGTTCGGGCAAGCACTCGTTTGACGACGTCCTCCGTGTACCCCATGGCTGTGAAGAACTTCAAAAGAAGCCAAAACTCTTTGTTTCCCATTGAGAACTGTCGCTCCTGTTGGTCCTCCCCCCCCAGACTGTCAGTCTCTCTGGTCCTTAACGTTTCCCCCTGCTCCGGCTCCTCCTCTTCTCCTACCTCCTGCGGAGAGTGCGCTGGTCTCTCCTCCCTACCCTCTGCTCTTCCCCGGGTGCCTGCAGATGTGGAGTCTTTAGAGGCAGCGTCAACTACTGCACTCATCCCTTCGACCAGCCGCTCAGTAGTGTTGGAGGGCTCGAGGAGAGCGTACGCAATGTCAGAGGGTCTGTCCCGTCCATCCTGGTTTCCTTCCGGCCCTGATCCGAGCCCAGATTCTTGAACCAGATCCAGCAGGATTTCCTTCACGGACCCTGGAAGCACCAGAAGGTCCAGGATGTGCCTGTCCTCCCACTGCTCAACCACAGCTTTGAAGGCCCGGCGTGAATCCAGGGACTCGTCTGAGCCTCTGTCCTCAGTCTCAGAGCGTCTGGACTGTGTCCCCTCATATCTCTCCACGAGGTCCATGATGAGGGAGTACGCTCGCACCACCGGTTCCGCCAGACCTGATATGAGCAGGAATCCTGGAGCGCCGACCTGGAAAACAGAATTGATGAGTCACGATTGACAGCTGAGACTGACTCCCAATCCATACCACAAAGCCCCCCCCCTTGAACGCCACTTCACAGGCTCTGTCTCTCTCGACAACGACATCTGCGTTAATGTGTACAGATACAAAAACCTTCATTTATATAGATGCATGTATGTATTTTAAATGTTTTAATTAAATAAAATATATGTAAGTTCTATATATTGGGTTTTATTTGTGTTTTATTTTTATTTATAGTAATTTATAATAAAGTTTATACATCTCAGAAATCACTGCCGACAACAACCGTTCCACTCTTTTCTACAATGAAGACGCATTCATGACGTTTTCCTGAAGTATTCGTTGCAACGAGTCGCAGCAAATACTGAAAAAGGAAGTTGCTGAAAATAAGATTTAAAAAATCCCACAGATCTAAATTTGCAGTCTAAGAAAACATAATCATAAAAAATAAAAACTCCCCACTGACAACATCGGTTTGTTTTTACTACGAGGCTGCTGTTACTTCATCAGGGCGATAACTGCTGACGTAACAGAGATATTGACTAAGAATGTAGTTTCTTGAAATAATAACAGAAGTAGAATCCCAGAATATCACAGTAATGTCACGTCAGTCGTGAGAGGCACGATCAGAAGGAAACCAGTGGTTTGTGCTGATGGGGGATAAAACATAGAGAACAGAAAAGAATAGAAATAATAAGGACGACATGAAATCATTTGATCACCCCCTGGTGGCTGACTGCGGTATAGATCAAAAACTACGACCTGTATTACTGCAGACGGTAAAAACAAACAGGGTGGGAACACGCAGCACTTACCACGATGTGTGCGGAGGTGCTTTTTATCAGGCAGTCCATGAACAGCCCTCTGGCTCCACAGAAGACACAGTGAAGGACCCCGGGGTAGGAGACCTCCTGCTGCTCCTCCTGGTTCACGACTCCTTTCACGAACAACTGAACATCACAAAAACATGGAGGATGAATCTGAGCTAATCTTTGGGGACTGAACCTGTCGTCCGACCAGCGGAGCGAAGGAAGCTGTAATGTTCACAACCCCCCCGGGCCGAGCACACGCTTGTTCTGGAGCTCTTGACCACATCGCATGGTCTTCGTTGGCGGTCACGGATACTGAAACGTAGTAGATAGATCCCTCCAGCTCTGAGCAAAGAAGTAGTACAAGTAGAAGTACGTGTGCACACGAGCCCCGTCAACCTGACTGTTGTCGAGCCGCCACACTGTTGTGTGCAGCGTGAGTGTGTGTGAGCAGGTGGAAAGTCTTCAGAGGCTCATTAATCAATTGATCTGAATGAGTCACTTCACATGAACTCTGATGTTTCTGTCAGCGAGCTGGAGATTATCAGTAACGACACGACTTCACCGCACCTCTCACTGATCAGGTTCTAGAAACTATAGTTCAAACACCAGGAGTGATTTAAAAACAGGCAGGTGAGGAGGACTCAGCGTCACTGATCACAGCTGTTGCTCGACCACGATTTCAATCGTAATAATAATATCAACAACATCTGGGCTCCGTATGTAAACAGCTGTATCACTGTGTTCTACACACGTCATGTGATCGGAGCCTGGCGAATCAGCGAAGGGTACGCTGTGACCAAAACAACACAATCAGCAACAATAAATTAAAGATGCTCGTTAAGGAAAGTTTTTTCAATCAGGTTCGGTTTTAATTTGTTTGACGATATAAAAACAGGGTGAAGCCTCATGATTGACAGCTGAGACTGACTCATGATTGGCCGAGCACGTTTATTGGCGGGACTTCGCTCAAGATGGACGCCCCCGTATGCAGGATATTTGTTTTGGTCCATGGTCTCAATTTAGGACTAACAACGGACAATAAGACGTGGACATATTTCTTACTTTGGCAGCTTTCACGTTGTTTCTCGGCCCTCGTAGTTTCAGCCAAATCTGCCCGTTGTTGCTGTGGGGCAAATCGTCTGCCCCGATCCCAAGCGTCACCCTGAATATCCGCTCCACGGTGCCGTGCAGCGATGTGAGAGATCCCCGCAGCATCCCCGCACATGCAAACTCATCCACCACCTCTGGGCGTCCTCCTCCATCAGCTCTGTCAGCGTCCATCGCTTGTTCTTGAGTCAGCGGCAGAGAGTGGAACATTCTGCGGAGAAGACATTTCATCAACCCACCTTCTTTAAGGTCACCCTGCGTTTACAGCAAATATTGATGTTAAAAGTTCGGAGTCTTTTTTATTAGAGCCCGTCTGACTTATTGGTCGGATGAAAACTTTTATTTTACAGAACAAACAATGC